TAATATATCCAACAGCTACTTGCTGTTTGTTCATGTATGAAGCGGATGAAGCCAGCACTTACTCTTTTACGGTCTCTGCCTACAAATGTAAAAGACGGTTATATTCATATCATAAGGTTAATTCAGCATGATCAAAATTGCCCAACCTTTTCGGAAACGTTTAAAGCACGTGGGTCAAAAATAGGTAATATTAGACAAAGCGAATGAAATTTATTAAAAAAAAAAAAAGACGAAAAGTCCAATTTTTCTCTCATTCATAATTACGTACTAATTTACAATCAATAATTACATTTCTTATGCTATGCTTATTAATGCTTACATTTCTTATGCGACGTACTTAATTAGTGACGATCAAGCCACAAACTTGAGTTACGGAACGTTTCTTGGGCTCCTATATGTAATATTTTTCAAATATCAGGCCTTTAAATGTAATTATTTTTAGTTCGGGCCCTTATTTGTAATTATTTTCACTTTTCGGGCCCCTATATGTAAATTCCCCTTAATTATATTAATTTATATAATTTTAGAAATGGTAAATATTTTTTTCTTGATACGTAGTTAATGCTTTTAATTTCAAATAAAAAAATTATGTGACAATTTGTCACGCCGATCACTTTTACCAGGAAATATATATCGTTATCCGTTATCAATACAATAAATAAATTCACAAAATACACATGCAAAAGTAAACACGATTTTTATGCGAAATTGAGCCACCAGTGCCAGCTTTATTGATACAGAAAAATGAATTATAAATTATTCGGGAATCCACATTTGTACTATTTTCTTTTTGTCTTTCTGATATAGATGTCGATGCATGATATAGCAGGGACAAATTTGTAATTAATATATTACATAAAAACAAAAGGGTTTCTACGAATATCGCTCAAATTGACAATAAAATTACGGTCGATTGGTAAGTTCCTTCATTTAACGATTTTACTAGTTCGGAATTGAAGGCCGGGTTAATCCAAATCTCTTCCAGAAGAGTAAAAAGCCCTCTTACAACACTTCTTCGGATTCTTTCCAAGTTCCATCATGGATAAGTTTTTCCGGTGGTATATTCTGGTACTTGCGACTAACAAAACTTGATACGAATTCTTCACGCATTTCTTTAACCTTCGGCATAAGTACAGGCTTCATTTGCCGAGTGGGTTTCTAATAGAAAGCATTATCAGAATACTTTATTTGTATTTGTTCTGAGAAGAGAAGCCTCTTTTATATATATTATTGTTAATAATTACATGCCTTAAATGCTTTTTTAAAGTTCCCCTTTAATTGTTTTACAAGTTTCGAATCATCATCACTAATGACTTGACTGGCTAGGGGGTCTAAATTCTCAATGGGTATAGCATTAAAACCAGAATATAATTGCTGATAAAGGGGCGTGTTAATTTTGTTAAGTTTTTTCTTCAGCTTATCAATACAAGTAAAATTGTTTCAGTAAAAAATAAAAATTGTCTTGTTTTTGTTTATTAGTCTGATTGTTGTTGTGAAATCGGTTTCGTCGGCAAAGGCTTGGTGTGAAATATCAGATACCACCATGAATTGATATTGGTGCTGGAATTTTGTATATCCAACATAGTCGATCCCGTAATGTAGAATTGTTCAATATTGTCTTTAATCTGGTCTGAGTCAAGAGTGTTTTCCTTGTCTGTTTTTATCGCCCAAGATCATATAAGCTACGAACACCCTTGAAAGCACAGTCAAGCTAATTATAAAATGCAGTGCGTTAGTTTTCAGAAATGAAAAAAAAATTCTCATTAAAATAACGCGTATTATCAGTGCATATGCAAAGTTAACATCTTTGGGTGGCCATCACGCAGATGAAACTTTGTGTGATACTAAAGATTTATGACTTAACACACCCCCCGACATGGAATAACCTTTTCACATAATAGGTCGGTAGGTGAACCATAAAACTGCGTAACAGACGCAAGTATTTATCGGCAAGCGAGCTAAATGGGTAGGAAAAGCATAATCAAACAAACTAAAACATAGCTTATTTATTCAGCATTTGCCTTGCAAATGGATCACACAAAATCATCACATAATGAAGTTAATTTTAGGGCATAATGTAAGAATCTAACCAACCTGTGAGGGAATTCGAAGAATTTCCGATTGGCGCTCTGAACCAACTGGGTATAAGCTACTAACAAATTCTACAGCTTGGCTTACGATCGACTTCAACTCATCTTGTGTTAACCAAGGATCTTCTTTCAACCCCTGATAGACAACTGTGGTGGCATTTATATGGCTCTCTTCGGCAGTGATCAAAAAATTTTGGATTTTAATTTACGTTTTTAGTTGTTGAATCTATATATATGCTTTTTACATAATATTTTGCAATTCTTGAATGTGTGCCAGATTGGTGGCGCATTAATCAGTCCAAATAATTTGCGCCAATTAAAAAATTCTAATGATAACAATAATAAATTTTAATAGAATGAAAATGAAAACACGTTATTTCTCTCGAATCATGTTCTTGTTTTTTCATAATCTTTAGTTTCTACGTAATATTATTGTTTTGAATTCAAAAAATGCTCATATTCTTACGTTTATAATGTTTATAAATTATAATTTTCAAAATTTTTACAGATCCGAATGTCTAAGTTCTTAATATAATACGCGTATAAGAAAAATGTTGGCTTTAAAAGTATGATAATAAATCTCAATTAAACACGTACTATATAATTTGTAAAAAAACTCTTTAAATGAAAAAAAACTTTTCTCATAATCGTATCTTTAAACATATCGGCGGGTTTGCGGAATGGATCTAAATTAAGGTCCCTGGATTTAACAATTGCAGAATGCATAATAGCTGAAATTTTGGGGTCAGTTTTACAATCGCATTGTTAAAATATATATAAGTCAATTCCGCAAATTCGCCGATATGAAAAGAATAATAGTAGTGTTCCTTAAAGGCGTTTCACTTTTGAAACTAAATTTTATAAGTTTTGTTAACCTCACATGCTTCTGAAATTATTACTCTACTTACATATTAAGTACAGTCAACTACCTTTATAATGGTACCTTTTTATAATGAACGAACTAAAAATTTTAAAATTATATTATTTCTGATATCTTCAATTCACAAGAGTAATATAGAAAACATTTAAAGCACAGGACGGTTTATGAAACACATGGAGGAAGTCTTCGTTGAAAAAGAAAGCTACTGAGGCTGGGTAATGCGTCATCAACCTGACACACATTCAAGAATTACTAATATTTTCCTTAACTAAATTTGGTGCAGCGAATATCGCTATGTGAACTGTCAATTTTACTTGAATTCTTTAAATTTATAGAAAAAATATATTGGAATTGAATAGAAAATTGCTGAAGAATTATATTGGATAAATTATTTTATGCTTCCTGGTAATACTGTATTATCACAAATTTGCCCCAGACAAACCATCATTTTTAAAAATAATTGAGATTAAATTAAACCTTGCTTTAAAAAAGATAAGACCAATCTCAACTTAATATCATCACATAGCTAGTAATTGTAGCTCGGAAAAAATTTTCATATATTCAAAATAACCAGTTATTAATGGTAAATTTCTGCTTTGGATGAATTTAATCAAATTCTTGTTCTTTTTCATTATTAGTAAATCATTCGACTAGTAACTAGGGATTGGAACGATTAATCGCGTTGCCTGATTATAGGAATCACGATCAGTATCATATAATCGCTTAACCGTTTATTAATCGTTTAATCATTTGGTCAGTTTAATCAAACTAGCCAATCAGATTTTCATTGAGGTGGGTGCTTGAGAACGCCCTAAGTCTTCGCTCTTGGTATTTTTTGACGAAGATCGTGAGGTTTTAAAACTTCAATATATAGTTATTACGAATGTTTAAATCGAAGATCAGTGCATACACATATTCGTAATTGTACTCATTAGCATTCAACATATAGATATGTAAATTGTATGTACGTACGAATTTCGTACAGGTGTTAAGACACTGACATCTGTAACTTTAACTGTTCTTGGAATGTTGATTATGTAGAACTACAGTGCTTCGCTATAGCACCTCTGGGAACTTTCAAGATGACCACTAATCTAGTTATTTAAACCAAGGGCCTGTAGAGATGTGCCATTTCAATACTTCACAAAAAATGTTGGGGTAACAATTATCCATAACAAAATTAATCCTCAGTACTTTAAAATTACATATTAATGAAACTTTGAGTCGACACCATTCTAAGTCTTATTAAAATACATACAAGTTATCGGGGTTTATACAGATTGTTTTTTTTAATAAAAAATAAAAAAAGTATATTTATGCTTTGTTTATATCTATGTGAGGGGCTACTAAACGATTAATCGCATAATTTTAAAAACGGTTAAACGAACAATTTAACGGTTTTTAATCGTTTATAAAATTTCTTAATCATTTAACCGTATAATATAAATAAACGGTTGGAGGTTAAGGTGCCCTACCTACAGTCTCCTATGTATTTCCAAATCACAAGAACATGTGAGCAAATAAACTTTATAACTTTTATAACAGAAAAATTATTAATACGTATAAATTTTATATATGCTTCAACAATTTCTTTTATTTAAAAATGGATAAAAGTTAGCTCACAACAACCATGTATTCCACCCATGTATAGAAAAAAATCAATAATAATCTAAATTATGGTCAGCATTTTCCTACTTTCGATCACGGTAGCTGATGAATGGATCGTCCAAGTTTGCCAACAAATCATCAATACTTAATTCATTATTTTCAATAGTAGATGTACTCCACTTGTTGAAGTAGGAGTACGATTTACAGAATTCTCAGGTGTAGCAGTTGATGTATTGCTTGAATCGTTTACCCGGGTGGTAGCAGTATCGGATTCATCTCCCATAAGATTAAATAACATCTGTCGATCTTGTTGTTATATAAAAACAAGTTAATAATTAATTATATATATCTATATACGGCATATACAATAAAAATCTACGTATTAACGACGAAACTGGTGTTTTAAGCGAAGCTATTTAGAATAATAGATTGCATATATCTTAGAAGTTATGTATACACGAAATTCTTTATATGGACGTAAAATGCAAAAGTAAATAATAACAGATAAAAAGATTATTCAAATTACATAAAACTTCTAAAACTTCTAAATGCAATTTAATTACAGTAATATCCTAAACTGCCATTATACAGTCTCTTTACGAATAAAAAAGTAAATTCGTTCTATATGCACTATTACAATATTAATGACCTTGTAAATGGCCTTGGTAATTTTGTCACGAGTCATTTTTTAAATATACAACCTAAAATTTAAACGATCGATCGATCATCAGAAAAACACTTGTTGAGTATTTTAGTATTGAGATTTTCTATTGGTTAAAAAAATTGGATGTTCTTAAAACTTTTGTCATCATTCTTAGAACTGATATTTTTATTTGTACAATATCACCAGAATGTGATGCATATGCTCTAATTATCACTATATGCAGTATTTTGAACCTATCAATTTGTGATGCTGACATGATTGGTAGGTTATCGCCGTGATAAAAATTTCAAAGAATTTAAAGAATACGGATCGTTTACTTTCCCCTAGGGATCTATTATTTATTTAAAATTTTCAAAAACGCTAAACTCGAAACGACCCCATCTCAGATTGAATGTTCAATAACTTGCAGATAGGTTATGGGCAAACTCCGCCAATCCAACCACAAGCGGTAACCGCTAGCGCGACATCGGGAGGCCCAAACATACCTAATGGTAGGAAATGGCGTCCATTTAATGTTTATATTGGACATTTTCTTGAAAATATATTACAGGGCTAATCACGGTTTAATTGTCGAATACTTTTTGGTTTTATTTTTATTTCTTTCCTTTTTTTTTTCAATTTTAGTTCGTCTTTCATTTATTACCAGTGCAGATCAAGCTAAATTTGAACAACTCTATATCCAAGGTGTTTCTGGGGGAAAGTATTTAACAGGTATTTAACTTTTTATAAAGTTTTTCGATAAATTGCTTGATATTATTTGACATTTATTTTACGAATGTTGAAGGTGAAGGCGCGAAAGGGATCCTTTTGCGTTCTAAATTACCTGCAGATGCATTGGCTAAAATATGGTTTGTTATATTCATACAATGAATTTCCAATCATCATTATATGACCACATGCTCATTTTGATCATATATGTATGACCTAGGACGCTTTCAAATGTAGCGGGAAATGAACATCTCACTTTCCCAGAGTTTGCTCTTGCTATGTATCTTACAAGTTTAAAGATAAAAGGACAAGAGCTACCCAATAAATTACCTGAAACCATTTTTAATGAGGTAATTGGCGTTATAGACCAAATCAAAGCTATCGAGCAAAAGCATCAACAAGAACAACAGCACCAACAATCATTACAACAACCGCAACAACCGCAACAATCACAACAACATATACCAATACAGCAAAGCAATAGCCCGGTCCCGCCTCAAATGATACAGCAATTTTCAGGGTTGGCAGTGGGTCCCAACGTGCTACAGTATTCTTCTATCCCTGATACCTCTGGGGTATCTGTAATGCCGGGTATGTTGCCATTTACACAACGAATGATGCCGCAACAGAATCCACAACAACAGTATAGCACCACAGGATTACAGGGAAATGCCAAAATTCCGTGGGCTGTGACACAAGAAGAAAAAATTCAATATAGGACAATATTCCGGCAATGGGATTCAACAGGATTGGGATATTTAACGGGTAGGTTTATTTAAATGCATATATAATTTTTAACATATAGCTATTATATTATACCTTTTTTTTTTAAAAAAAAAAAATTTCATTATAGGTGAAAAAGCAAGGGAAATTCTATCACAATCTGGTTTGCCTCAAAATGATTTAATGCAAATATGGTGATTACATTTTATTTTTGTCTTTTTTTTTTAAATAAATAAATTGAATGTGAGTTAACATTTTTTCATGATACAAGGAATTTATCGGATCCTAATAACAACGGAAAATTAAATCAGGATGAATTCGCAGTGGCCATGCATTTGATTTATAGAAGACTTAACGGCTATGATGTACCGACTACACTTCCTCCAGAGCTTATTCCACCGTCTTCTAGAGAGTTAAATGAAAGTCTGGATTTAATCAAAAGCATGTTAAGTTCAGATGCACATAATACACAAACGTTATTAAATTCCCAACCTGGTGCTCAATATGTGAAATCTAGAAGTTTCACCAGTACCCCTACAATTGAATACAATGATGCGGTTGTATACAAACATAAGGATGATGATGTTGGTTATGTATCTGCTGCGAGGCATCGTGTTCCTTCAGTACCTCGTGATCGATCGCCATCATCGTTTTCTTCTTTTTCAACATCTTCTTTTTCTGAATCTGGCGATAGGGATGATTTTTCTGGAAAATTGTCAAGATTAAAAAAGGAAATTCATGAAAAGCAAATTTTATTAGAAGCGTTGTCGTATTCGGCTAAATCAGGTCCAACATCTTATGATCGTTCTTATTCCAGTAATTCTTCTGATATAGATGATTATAAATACAAGATAAAGGAACTTCAACGAAAAATAGTTGATGCACAAAATTCTACTCCTGAATGGCTTTCAAGAGAATTTGTTAAGAATACGGATGAACTGAATTCTTTATTGGATCAACATCGTAATTTTGATTACGAATTTAACAATATTCTTTCCAGCACTGTTCCAAATTTAATTAATAAGGTTCGAGAAACAAATAGTAATGTGGCTACTGCCAAACTAGAACTCTTCAAAATTAGAGATGGGCGGGAAGGGGGTTTAAAAATTATTGGGACGGGTCCTGGGGGTTCTATTACTGAAGCTGATAAAATTAAAGCGAAGGCACAGGCTATGCTACAAGATCAAATGATGCGCATGACTGGAAAGTCTCTTAATTTTGGTAGTGATGTATCCGATTCATCAGCGTCAAGGCGATATGAAGAGGAAGTGAGTAAGGTTAACTCTGAAAAAGAAATTAGAGAACGAAATGTTGCAGATGTTGAAAGAAATGTTTCAAGACTTCAAGATTCGTTAATACGGATTGCAAAAGATCGGGAAGAAATCGAAGATAAGTTGCGCCAAATAGAAAGAAATATACGGTCTTATGAGAATGATACTCGGAAATGGGAGGATGGAATTGGTGTAGGTGAAGAAGTTCGGAAATTCATCGACGATCTTAAGAGAGATGCTCCAAAATCATCTTATCGCACAGAATATACCCAAAACAATTATTCTTATGATGGAAACAAGTACAATGAACCTCGCTATTCATCTACAGGAAATGATGCACATGACCGTAGTCGTTCAATTTCTTCAATTTCAAGTTATAGCTCAGTTAGCAGCTCGGTTCAAAGTTCTTCTAATGCAAAAACTCCAGGAGAACGTAGTGCTTTTATTGAAGCAGAGGCAAAACGTAGAATGCAGGAACGCTTAAAGGCTTTAGGCATTGATAACCCATCACCGGAAAAACCTACACCGTCTTCTGATTCATCAACAATCACCAATAGACTAAGTCGTGAAAGAGCTGACACAGCTGAAAGGATAGAACGCGCTGAACGTGAAGCTGTAGAACGTGAACGCATTCGTGAACAAAAGCTGTTGGCCGAAAAGCAAAAAAAGGCAGAACAAGAAGCCGAACGATTAAAAAAATTGGAAGAGTTTAAACGTGAAGAAGAAGAGAGAAAAAATAAATGGCTTACAGAAGCCCAAGAACTTGAGAAAGCGAAGGACAAAAAATTACGTGATAAGGAGGAGGCATCGCGTGCTATGGAAATGGAGTTGGAAAGGAGGAGGTTGGAAGAGGTTGAAAGGGAAAAGCGGCAGCAGGAAGAGAGGTTAGCTAGGATTAGGAGAGAAGAGGAGGAACGTGCTGCCGCTTTACGAGAACAAGAAGCTCTAGTTGAGAATTCCCGAGCCGCTAGAGAACTTGCAAAAAAAAGAGAGGTCTCATCTACTACTAAATCGACTATATTTAAACCATCGTCAAATATTCCAGTTGCTCCCCCAGCACCACCATCAAATATTCCAGTTGCTCCTCCAATGCCAGCATCAAATATTCCAGTTGCTCCTCCAATGCCAACAAATATTCCATCAGCGCCACCACTACCTCCCTCCTCAAATATTCCATCAGCGCCACCACTACCTCCCTCTTCAAATATTCCACCACCACCACCATTGCCACCTTCTTCAAATATTCCATCAGCGCCACCATTGCCCCCCTCTTCAAACATTCCATCAGCACCACCATTGCCACCTTCTTCAAATATTCCATCAGCGCCACCATTGCCACCTTCTTCAAATATTCCAGTAGCGCCACCATTACCACCTTCTTCAAATATTCCAGTAGCGCCACCATTACCACCTTCTTCAAATATTCCAGTAGCGCCACCATTACCGCCGTCTTCATCAAACATTCCATCTACTGAAGACACCCGACCCACAACTAATTCTCGGCAAAGAACAATTTTAAAAGCTGATCGTAGGATTTCAGCAGAATTATTTGGTAGTTTGGCTTCTGATCAGCTTGCAAGTGAAGGAAAACTTTCGGCACCTACTACCCCCGACATAACTCATACAACATCTAGCGAAAGTGAAGACTATTTACGTTCTGCCAATGAATCATCAAATCTCGTAGAATCGCCAACTACTACTTCATCTTCCGAAATTGATGTGGATTTCACACAAGAATTTCGTGTTAAATCTCTTTATCCTTATTCTGGTGGTGTAGATGACCTTCAGTTTGAGGCTGGAATTTCTTTCATAGCACATCCATCCAAAACTCAATCAAATGCAGACTGGTGGTATGGTGTGATTGAACAAACTGGTGCAAAAGGCTGGTTTCCCAAATCATATGTTAAAGAAGGTATAATAGAGTATAATTATTTACAATCATTATTTTTTTCATTTTTAGTAATTTTATGTTTATTTTATAATTTAGAAAAAGAAATTTGTAAAGCGAAGGTCTTGTTTGAATGGAAGGCAGAAACTCCCGATCAGCTTGACATTGAACAGGGCATTGTTGTTTCTATACTCGACAAGTCCTTAGGTGATTGGTGGAAGGCGGAATATGAAGGCACTAAAGGAATTATTCCAGCAAATTATGTCGAAGAAATTTCTAGTTATAGCGGTTAGTGTTTGACTTTAATATTGTTGATGTACATGAATTTTTTATAGCGAAAACGTATGTGCGATGATGCAAGTTTCAATCATCCTTCCTTTCACATACATTATTTATTTTACTTCAAGTACAGAAACATAAAACTACATATGTATTGTCAAATAAAGACCAATGTAATATTATATTCTTTATTTATATTTTTGTGTGTGGATAAAATAATGAAAATTTTTTCTTTTACGTTTTTTTCTATTTTTTTTTTCTTTTAATTTAATTTTTCTATGTTCTGCATTACGGTTGGAACAAAAGCCCAAAACAAATTAGATAAGGATATGACAGGTGAAGATGAAACAAGTAACGATGACACAAGTGAAGATGAAACTAATGAAAATAATGGCGATATACGTGATATTGCTAATAATTCAAATTCAGACAGTATTTTTGACATAGTTTTCACGGATCCCATAACGATACCAAAATTTAGCATTCAATCTCCTAAAAATGCCAGTTTTATAAAAAGTCCAATAGAAATAAATTCTAGATCAGCTTCACCGAATTCATCAGAACCTACAGAATTTATAAGAAGTCCAAGTCCAACAAGATTATTTGGTTCTAGCCCAATCATCACTGTTCCATGGATGCAAGGGATACCATTCAAAAGAGAGCGTAATAATTCTACAGATTCTAGCCTAAATCCACAAAATATGCCGCAAAGACCAGAAAGTCCAGCTTCGGCAGGCCAAGTATGTTAAATTATAAATTTCTTTACAATTTTCGTCGTAAAAAGGTAGTCCTTGACTGGTTCTTAAAATTTTATGTGCCCATTTAATTACTTTAATAAAAAGGGACCTTCTACACCCTTGTGGGCAGGAATAATTGACCCTAAAATACTGGAAAGTATATCTAAAGAAGAACGTAAACGACAAGAAGCCATTTATGAATTAATAACCACAGAGCAAATATATCTTCGTGATCTTCAAATAATAATTAGCGTGTTTTATGGTCCTCTTCAAAGTCTCCTTTCCGAACAAGATTTATCTATTCTTTTTTGTAATATTCAAGACATTCTATTATGTAATACTGCCATTCTTAGCGATCTGGAGCAACGCCAAGAGGAGGATTCTTATTTTGTTAGTAAAGTTGGCGATATTTTACTCAATCATTCTGAAGATTTAATATTATATACGAAATATTGTGGTAATCAACTGAATGCAAGCAAATTTTTACAAAAAAAAAGTAGTGTAGATAAAAAATTTGCTGATTTCCTTAAGGTAATCCGCATTTAACAATGTAAAACAGATAATTATAAATTTAAAACAACAATAATTGTACAATTTCTTATATAATAATTTCAATATGCTATAGAAAAGTCAGCAAGATCCGAAATGTGGGTCATTGGATCTTTCTAGCTTTCTTTTGAAGCCTTTACAACGAATTACTAGATATCCATTATTAATACGTCAGGTAATAAAATTTTGTATGTATTCCTTCCTTTATAACAATTTTATATTTCTGATCGATTATTTTTTTTAAATTCTTTTTGTTAACAGATATTGCATTATACAAGCAAAGACAATATCGACCATCAAAATATGATGCAGGCCCTTCATAAGGCCGAAAAAATCTTGGAAGAAACAAACGAGGCAGCACGTGAACAAGAAAACCAGATGAAATTGAAAGAGATATCAAATCTTGTGGAATTAGAAAGTTTAGAAGAGGTAGGTAGATCTTTTGTTAATGAATACTATTACATTTTGTTTGTAAATAAAAAAAAAATTCTTATCGGCTTTCGTTTAAAGAAACTTGACTTGACTAGTATGACTCGTCTAGTTGGAAAACGGCAATTTCTTCTTGAAGGAGCGTTACAGAAAGCTAAAAGTAGGCGCAATTTATTTGGCTACCTTTTTAATGATATATTACTTCTTTGTCATGCGAACAAAAAAGCAACTGCCAAAGGACACAAATATTCGTTGTACAAGCCGGTAATTTATTTATTTTATTAATATTGCGCTAGCCTTATTTTATGAATTAAATATTTTGAACTTTTTGCTAATCTTATGCAGCCAATACCTTTGAATGAAATATTTGTAAAAGATATTGGACCAGGTTGGTTTTACTTATAAGCTTATTGCGTATGGTGATTTTTTTCATGTATTGATTCATTTATTATTTTTATGTAGATGAAACATGTTTTCAAGTGGTTCATATTCAAGATGTTATAAACCTTCGAGCAAGTAATGTGTCTGTAAAACGGCAGTGGGTTAATCAACTTGAAACAGCGAATGGATATTGCTTAGCAATGGAAAGGAAAAATCAAAAAGGAGGTACTTATTTCGAATAGCATATATTTGTAACTTGATTTATAAATGGCTTATTACGTTTAATATTAAGTATAATAATCACATAATTTACAGAAAGTTCCTCTTCACCCATGTTTAATGGCCACATTAGTGGTACACTCAGGGTTTTAGTGTACGAAGGTGTGGTTCCATTTGAAAATGGTTAGTATTTACAATGGTATATACCGTAGTGCACTGACCAAAAGACCCGGGGTCTAATACAAAATACCCAACAAAAATCTTACAAAAGACCCGGGTATATTATACAGCAGCGGGCCAGTGCCGCAAGAAAAACAAATTTCAAGCATATACATATTCTGCACTTACAATAAGCAGTCTAAAAATTTTTAAAAAACCTATATTTAATTAATAGAGGTCTCGTGTTTTGCACCGGGTACTTTGCAAGGGGGGGATATAGAAAAAGGGGGATACTTTGGTCAGTGCACTACGGTACTTATAATTTAGAGACTAACTTATGATCTTAATTTCAATATAGGGTCAGAAAATTTTAATCTAAATGCATATTGCCAGGTGCAATTGAGCAGACAAGTCTTTAAGACAAAAATTGTTAAAGGTACTCCATTTCCGCACTGGAATCAGGTAATAAAAAAATTTTTTTTTTTTCCTCATTAATTTGACCTTATTTTAATTAATTTATCCTTGTTTAGCATTTGATGTTTTCCGTAATAACACTAGAGGATACATTAAAAGTCTCATTATTTAATTTTGATAATAAGTACACAACGGATGAATATTTGGGACAAGCAGAAATTGGTCTACATTTCCTATCATATTATGGAGATAATGAGACCGATAAAATTACATTAAAATTAAAGGACGTACCACCGGGCAGAACCTCTGGTTCTGTGTCGATGTTCCTAAGTTATAAAGCAACCAACTAATTATTACTAATTATATTTTAAAAAAAACATTAATTATTATTAAAGTACAGTAGAATATAATAATGTTCATACAAAATTGTAATTTTTACAAATACATTCCATTTTATTTAATTACATATATGTATCAAATATATTGCATAACTTTCTCTTGGAGAAATGTAAACTATTGGAATGTGAAATATAAATTAACTTGATTAAATATTATAATAAACCTGAACAATTTCTTACAATGTACCATGCAAATTACAAAATGAAATATACAAATTACAGTATACAGAAATATAAAATATTTATATATTATGTAAAGATTAATTATTGTTATCATCCAACCACTTCCAAACTCGAGTTGATAATAATTCTTTTTGTAACATAAAATATCTTCTTCTGTTTAGTTTTGCAAGGCTCCATAAACAAACCCATGTTCGTTTTCCTACCCAACGCATTCCTTCCCATAGCAACATGGTTCCATATGCAACCGATGTCCAAAAGAAAAAAAATAAAAAAGAACCGAAAATAAAAACGTGTTCTCCAAAATCGTATAATCCAAATTTTCGGATAAAATGTATAGTTAATATTGAATAAATTAAATCAAATATTAAAAATAAAGCGATTCCTGTCATAAACTTCCACGTAGCGATTACATATCGACCAGGCCACCGCGTAACAGATAATGAATTTTCATCATATAACATGGTATTTTCACCCTGTTTCTTTCCAACGTATTGAGCGATGAGTCCAATTGGACAGAAGAAAATTAACCCAGGAATTGTTAAAACAATTAAGAATAAGTAAAGTGGAAGGTATAGGATTAATGAAATTGGGATTACGGATAGGTGAGGCAATGATAGATGGTGCTTGCGAAGTTTATGAGCATATGTATTAGTATCCCATTTTAATATTTTGACTTCTTCTGTCAAAGGAACAGTAGAAGAATATTTCTAAAAGGTAATTTAATGAATAAATAAAATAAATATTATATAATCATAAATAAATAGATTAAATTAAAATTAAATTAAAATTAAATAAAAATATAATAACAACCTTAGCTATTCTTCGTAGTAGATATATTTTATCCGAAAAATTAAATTTCTGTGGTGATAATTTTTCCCGATATAGCTTTGATGCTGTCTTAAAGAATAAAAGAGTTTCATAATCTGGTGCATTAATTGTTATTTCTGTCAAAGACGTATGGATAGTATTTAAAAGCTGTTGAGAAGCTATTGAAAGCAAAAATAAATGCATTTAATTTTAACAATTATAAAGTATGATTTAATGATTCATAAATAGGAAATACAATAGAAACCTTTACGCTTTGATTCGTCACCGGCTTTATACATTTCAATTAATTCATTATCAATTTCTATTGTAGGACCAATTTCAACAAATACGCGACTTCGAAACGAATGACGATCGAAAAAGTTCAATCCACATGGTACCAATTTTAACTTTCTTGGTTTTCCTGAGGCATCAGGTTCATTAGATGCCAGATAGCCCAAGCTCATAACCGCACATCCATACTTTAACGATAACATATGTTCATTATCATGTGATGTACCCTCAGGAAATATGGCTATACAATTAGATTTGGAAAAATGACTATGTACGGCAGAGTAAACTTCAGAATGAGGGGGCATACGAGTATAAGAATAAGTTGTTGGAATGTCCGGAACAGAATGAATATATGAACTCCTTCGACTACTTGAAGAGCTTTCAGGAATTAAAGGAGTATGCTCGGTTGTTTCTTGATTTGATGAATGAATGATAATATCATTAGGTTGACCATCAAAAACTGGAGAAGTTAATACACCAGGTGAAGTAGACAATCTATCAATACTTTTTGTCAAATATTTTGGCAAAAATTTTTCCAAATTATTTATAGTACTCTCACGATCCACACGAATAACAAAACTACCATATTCTACTAAACGCTTTAACTGTCCTTTAGGTTTTCCTTTGGTAGTCCATTTCATTCCTGGCTCTTTTATGCGTACTTTATCATCATTGATGATTTCTTCAACAATACCACTTGCTTCTTTCAACGTTTCATGATCAGGTTCTTCAAATTCTACATATAAAGTATCACGAACTTTAAGTATATTACCGAGATCATTACCAATTACTATTTTTCCATCTTCAATAACCCTTACTAAACCATCTCCATCAACTCTTTTAACATCAAATGGTCGCGTAACCGGTATGCACCCAATGAAGGTCATGAGTGTACCAAAAATAGGATAATCGAAATTGGATCTTGCACTTAAAAAATAAACATATCTTGGACAAGTAACAAAAATAGTGATCGCATCCATTAAAAAATTTCCATGAGGAGCAGCAATAAATAATATTGGAGTACCATCGTCTGGAGGAAAATTTTCCGGGTGAAATACACCATGATCACGATAAAAGATTTTAAATACTATTTTAGCTAGAAAACGTAATATAATATAAAATGCAGTTCTCACAGCAATAGCTAATGACATGATTGCTTAATTTTCTTCTCTTTATTATTTTTATTTTTTTTTTTTAAAAAAAGATAAATAGATTTTAGGGTTCACAATAAAAATAAAACTGGATCTAATTAAATCCTTTTCACGCATATATAATTTTGTTTATCAACTATTTTTAGTAATTTTAATTGATAAGCCATTATATATTATTATATAGCATAGTCAAAAAAAAAATAAATGTATGATGATAGTTACATTTAATGAGGTAATACAATACTGCAATAGTCCAAACAACGTTAGCGGTCCGTAGCTCTCGTTCTCAATTTTGATATATAGGGGTAAGAATTGAATCCATGGCACAGGTTTATGATATATATTGTTTTTGAACTCAGTTCTTACCTCATTTTTCTTTCTTACAGTTATAATAAAGATTTTTTTTTTTTTTCACGAGTAAGAAAATACGTAGTAGCTTTTCTGCATTTCCTTCTACGTACGTACGTATCACGTACTTTAATCCCCTAACGATTAGATGTAATTTATTAAGTTTGAAATTTCACATGTTTTTTTCTAAAATACTATTACAAATTTGGAACTGCATACTTTGATAATGTTACAGAAACATGAACGAATATCGATTGTTCTCAATATTTACTTCAAGAGTCTTGTGCTACGTTTATTGCCATATTTTTGCATAGCGCAATAACCATTTTCTATTTCACTTGGTTGGTGAGCTCTTTCACGTTTTTGATTGGTAATCTAACTAATTAAAAAATATACTGTATTATATAGTGATAGTGTGGTTGTAGTGATGGTGATATGAAAAGAATCAATTAAATACCACGGTTTCCACAGGAAGTCGTTTACTAAAAGTTATAATTAGAGAGAATCTATTTTTTATTAAAAAAAAAAGTTGTACGTATTAAGATGGGACTTTCTAATTATTAATTATCGTTATGAACTGTTGACGATTAAAAATGAGAAATGAATTATTAATTTAAAAGTACTTTTTAAGCAATTAATAATTGAATTATCCAATATGCATAGAAAGTCTTTATCGAAGATGATACGTACGATAAATGATTTTTTACTATAAATTTTAACATTTGCATATTTTTTATAAAAATCATCGAACGCATCATTACTTTTTTAATACTGTATGTACGTTAAGAGTTGAATATTTAGATATTCCGGCCGATTTTGAATATGGTGCAAATCATCTATTCGCATCAAATCCGCGCCACTAATTAAGGGTTATTCCGAAAAAATTCAAAATATCGATACAATGAATTTTATATTAAATTTTGAAAATTTTGTCGATATAGAAAGATTTTACTATGATGTCGTTATAACCAGATGTCAGCATAACCAGGGTGGCATGTATTAGTCTTCGAAAATTTCTGTTATGTTTTTTTTTTTAGTGTAACTTTGCAAAAAAAAAGCATTCTTTATAGATAACAAGGCAATAGGTTTTTTTTTCGTGAAATTCCAAATATTCATCAGAGTTGCGACTTTGCATAAAATTTCTATTAATCCGCGTAATTTTAATTAAGAAATTATCTCTATCAATACCTTCTATGTAATTAATCGCCAAGAAATGAATATTGCTATTAAGAATGTCCCATCGCTACGTAATACATATGTATGTAGTAATTTTTAAATTCATTAATAAATATCATTTATTAATTACAATGTTATTGAAACGCTCTGCGATAGAAAGGACTGAAACTCGAATGTATATGATCTTTAGGATGTTTTGTCCAGACTGATCCGGGTTAATACTTGAGCTTTTATGCCGATTACTTTCGAATTGTCTCGATTTTTTATTATGTTCAATAATCGAAAAGTGTAGCTTGCACCAAAATTTAAATTTAGTAAAAGCACGATTTTAATTTTTGGGGTAGTTTCTTGGGGTAGTTTCCGCCTTTTTAACCACAAACGCCCACATGGTTATTCCAGGTATCATACGTACGCCCATGGGCGTTATTTCGAGATAACGATAAGGTTTATTTTAATCCAATATATCATTTTGCGCAACAATAAATTACATGGGGATGAGCTTTAATTTGGGATGCCCATGTGCGCTACCAGAGATCGCTAATTCAAGATCATTTAAGCTATTTTTGAAGGACCCGATTTTTAAAATAACGCCCACGAGTGTTATTTCGCGCTTATACAGTATGATCTGGTGATCTGGAGATTCTATTTCGGATAATATTTAGAAGGAAATGACTAGGTTGGTAATCGCTTTACTGACAAACATAAACCAATATCCACTACAAAAATTTATAATAGGCTATTGTTTATGAATTAATTATCAGCAAAATAAATATTGTCAATAATACATATTCGTCAATTCTCATCCAAAGAATCGAATTTTCAGATCCTTAAAAAAATGAAATTAATTAGGGATTTGTGGATAGAAAAACCCATGGGCCGAGCTCTGGTCAAATTTGCAGATCATTTGGCCAGCCTTAAAAAGCTGCCAAATGATCTACAAATTTGACCAGAGCTACGGCTCATGGGTTTTCTATTTCATAAATCCGCCGATATTTTCTTAAAGAACGTGAATTTTTTATTAATTTCTAAATAGTCTAAATAGTCGGGAAAACCGTGTAAATTATAGATTTGCAACAATTTGGTTTGAATTAAATTTATAGATGTTTAAAGCAGAAAAAGCTGGGAAAATAACAAATACTCTATCATACAAAATAACACGCGTTATTATAAATGTTATATATTTCGCAGCATGTAAAACGTAGAATGCGTCATTGGTTATAATCCCCAATAAGGAATTAAAATATTTTAACGTTGGATATACGCGCGTTACTGATAAAGGAGTAAATAAAAAATGATGAATGTAAAATCAAAAATTTAATACCAGTACTTTCAATTATAACAATAGTAAATATCGATTGTTGGATTTTTGTATTAACAAATATTTGTTGAGCATAAAAATTTTTGATAGAAAGCAGTAAAAAAAAAGAAATTTAGATTATGCATACTCAGGATGATGCATAATTATACTTAATAATATATTATGAATAAATAAAGTATTTATAATGAAACCATACATATACACTTTGAATGATAAAGAAACTTAGTTAATTGTGTTAACTTTATTATATTTGCTCTTCTTAATCTTCTGAAAAAAAAAATAATTATTATTTTGAAATATCAAATGTAATATGGAAAACTATGTCGAGATACATATGCTATAAATGTATGATAGTATGATTTTTGAACTTAATTAAAAGGATTTTTGGTTTCTTTCAGAAGATTGATAAGTTAACAATTAATAATGTAAGAAAAATATTCGACTAAATTATTTGGTAATAAACTATTCAATTTTCTTCAGAATCGAATAAATCTTCAATTGATTTATGATCCCAAGTAAATCCAGATGCATTTCTATGACCACCACCACCAAATGCTTTTGCGACTTGAGAAACATCTGCTTTTTCATCCAAGCTTCTTAAACTGACACTATATCGTTTTAAGATTCCATCATAAAAAAATACCATGCCAAAATCAGCCCCATCCATTTTTGCAAGAGAACTTCCGAGTTCTGATTGCCATAATGATGAATTCGTAACGAATACGGTATAGGTTCTGGTTTGAGGCTTTTTATCATCATCAATTATGTTTACAGTCATTTTACGTCTAAAAGAATCTTTATCTTTTATGAAAGAAACACGAGCCTGAGTATAATTAAGGATATGAGTTCCGGATTCTATGGCCTTTTCAATCAAGCTCTATTTTCAAGAATAAAAGATGTTTTGTTAATATCATAAAAAATAAAAATAAAAATCAAGAAAAAAATTAATATGAAACTTTATTTACCTCATCTTTGACGTATTGATCATAAATTTCAAACTGAAAAGGAATGGTTGCCCAAAAAACTGAAAATTCTCGAGATTTTGGCAATTTAAATCTCCATAGATCCTTTTTTTTTTTAAAAAAAGATGCATTCTTTATTATTTTGTTTCATGATTAACTTTAGATTATTCTTAGTTTACATACTTTGTCCTCAATATATCGAATCAATAATGGAACTTCCTTATCTGGCCAAAAGAATTCCCAGGCCAACCTCGCACCACTTTTATCCATGTCAAAGAAATAATTCTTTTTATCTTCATCTCCACTCAATAGATCATCTCTTGCGGATTTATGATGATCCACAACTGTTATTATTTTTGCTCGTTTTTCAAGTTCTTTAATGATAGTTTTTGTATAACTAAAATCATATATTCCAATTCGTTTGTCCTGAATATCTTGAGGTGGTGGCGTAGAATGTTGAGCTGCATAATAGGTTGCGTTATTCCCTAATCGTTTCCACGCTGAATACGCTGCACCAAATCCATCGGCTTATTATGAAAGTCAGTATTTTTTGAGAAAATATGATATTTATTAAGCTTTAATTTTTTAGAAAATAGAAATGAAAATGATGGATATTATTTGAATATTGCCAAATGAAAACAGGGAAACCTTGTAAAAAGACTTTCATTTGGCAGTATTCGTTTAATATAAAAGCACTTACGACAGTCTTTATGATATATAATATAATCTAAAGTTCCAGGATCAATGTGGGGTAAAATTTTGGACATACTTTTCTTTTATTAAAGAAATATGTATTGGCTTTATTCTCAATGTCGTTAAAAATACTGACTTATTCTATGCAATATACCTTTGTTGCCAATAGTGGTCTGAAAATCCGCATTTAATGCTAAGCTCGCGTCTTTCCATATGCGATATTTATTCAGATGTCCACCCACGTGATATATGACCAAAAATATGTACTGTTACATAATCGTACGTATAAATGTTAAATGATAATCTTGGTCAGGTCAAACGAAAGTTTTTGAAGTTAATTCTTAGAAGTTGATGCAATGACTCTTAATTAGAACTG